TAAAGCTGAAAACCTGAATAGCACATTTTGTTGTTGTTTGGCTAACTCCTCCTGGAATCACCTTCTGGTTTGGCTAGTACTTTGTACAGAGCAATGAGATTTTTCATAGTGGAGACTTTTACAGGGCTCTGTTTGGTTCTCAGTAAGGCAGGCCCACACTTTTTTCCCTTCTCCATGGAGAGGGTAATATGTATTAAATAAAAAAGTCACCTTCCAAAAGAGAAAAAGGGATTAGTTTGTTTGCTTCACAGCTGTGGAATTATTTGGAATGTTTTTACCAACGGTTGCTTCAAAACAACAAAAAAGGTTAATTACAAAATGTGTACATCACAACATGCTTTTAAAGACATTTTGCATTGTGCTCACATTCCCTTAAATGTTGTTCCCAAATGTGCTCAGCCTCTAGCCCAGCTAGAATCTCTGGGAAGTGGCAGAGACAGTTTGGCGAAAAAGACACAGGGGAGTAGAGGGAACGGCGAAAGGAGAAAGCAGCCTTCCAGTTAAAGATCAGCCCTCAGGTTAAAGGTCAGCTTCGGGCAGGCTGGCCTCAGGCGAAGTCGGGGTCAGAGGGAGGATCAGCGGCAGGGAGGGCCTGGGGTGCTCTACATCTCATTCAGGTCCAGCAGAGTCTGGTCCAGCATCCTTTGTGTACAGAGATGCTCCTCTTTGGTGCATTTCAGTTTATCTAATGGAGGTAAAGGAGAGAAGTTATACAAGCTAGAAGTTTCAAGGTCTGCCTACTCTCTGAGACTTACTCCCTTGCAGGAAAGTTGTAGACTAATCAAGCAGCTGCTTTCTCAGTCACAGAAGTGAGCTATTACATCACCCAGCTTTGCAGAGCCTCTGGCTCCCCTACTGAAATTGTAGGTGTTGCTGCACTTTCTGGGGGAGGGAAATAGGGACCCTATCAACCACTTCCTCTCCCTCCCATACCCAATCAATACTTTCACCTTTCCATCTCTGAGGGAGCAAGCCTTAAATATCAGCCATCCACTTTTCTAGACTAGCCAACAACTTCTTGAAGTGGCCCACCGGAGTTTGACCTTAATTGAGATTTTTGCAAAGCTGTTGCCCAGAACTAACTTGTGACAGTAACTTGCAATTAAACATAAAATCAGGAAAAGAAAGCAGAAGGGAAGATGTCAAGAAGAAAATCAACAGCTGATCATCAAGGAGAATCTAATCTACCTAGCAATCAAAGCACCCTGACTGCTCTTGAGAGGTGAGGAAAACACTCAAATCTTCAACTCGAAGAAGGTGATGGCAACACAGATGCATATTGATATCTGACACTCTTTTCTTCCTCTTCCTTTTTCCCGCCCAGTCAGAAAGGCCCATCCCTGGGCCTGCAGATGAAGCAGTCACAAGATCTTGTTGAGTCAGTTCTTTTATTGTCCATGCAATGGAACATACCCAATTGAAAAAGCAGCAAATAAGGGTAGAAAACAGCAAATTCTCCCACGTTGTCTCACTACCATCTCTCAGGCACCAACCTTCATCACCATAACCTTTTTTAAAAAATCTACTATTATTTCTCCTATAGTGTATGATGCAGCAGCAACAGCTAACTCTGTTCATGGGCACAGAGACGGGGAGACAGGGGGGCGCTCAAAGGAGCTGGCATAGGAGCTCAACTGAACATAGAAATTTCTCTTGTACTTGGAACCTATGATTTTGTATTTGGTTGTTCTACCCATAATCTTCTAAAGGGACAGAAAAGCAGTATTTACTGTTCCAACTTTAAAATGCTGTTAGGAAATCAACATTCTTTTTTTTTTTTTTTTTTTTTTTTGAGTTGGAGTCTCCCTCTGTCGCCCAGACTGGAGTGCAGTGGCCACTCCCGGCCACCGCAGCCTCAACCTGCTGGGCTCCGGCGATCCTTCCGCCACTCCTTCCGC